GCAAATGGTGTATTAGCTGTGTGGTGTAAATTATCTTTGCCTCGTCAAATACAGCTTGTATGTCAGGGTCCGTGAAGCCAAAAGCGATCCTTCTATCTACAGAGCATGCGCAAGTTTAATACGATGATTGCACGAGTTTCCTTAGAACATTGCGTTCATATTTCGAACAACATCGATTCTACCCGTTTTATTCACCTGAAGAAGAACTAAGTTCGAAAATGTTTGTGAAAACATTTGGAAATAAGCACTGTTTTGGTTTACAGCAGAAGTAAGTCGTTTATTTTACAGTGTGTATAGAAGAGATTATTGATATTACTAGTATGCATATCATTAGCATATCTTATTTTAGTAACTAGTGAACTGGAGATTATATAGTATGTTGATACTCGATAGGACGGTACCTTTCAGTGGACATAAAAATAACTTCTACAGGACATTAATAAAATTCAAGGCAGCAGTGAGAAATTTTGGAAGTCTTAAAAGATGGTTTAAAACAAGAAAAGTACCTGACAGGGAGACCCAATATTGCCACTTTTATTCATAATTCTGCTAGAAAGGGCAATGGAATGCATCAGAAGTGATATCAAAGACACATCTGTGCATGATCAAAGAATCAACCACCTTAGATTAGCATACGATACTGTAATTCTTGAAGAAAATGCAACTGATCTGGAAAACACAGTTATCTTAAATGAAGAATGCATGAGATACAGACTGCACATGAACTTAGAAAAGACCATGATGATGTTATTTGGAAGGTCAAATTAAGGCAAAAGGAATTAACAAAATGGAACAAGAATTGAAAAGGATACAGAATTTATATATCTAGGGAGAAAGCTGACTGAAAATCTAGACTATCCTAAAGAAATAAAAATAAGAGTAGCCAAAGGATCTGCAAAGCCTTGGACATTTGAAAAAGTCAAACCATTACAATAAAAACAAAATTAAAAATTCTGGACATACTCAATGGCTGTGAGGCATGGGTCTTACACTAGGAAGCAAGAAGACGACTAGAAGTCTTTGAAAGAAAATGCTATAGGAAGCTACTCAGAGTAGATTGGCATGATAGGGTTACAAATGACAGTTTATAAGAGTCCAATATGAGAAAATGCTATTCCAATGTGCCATCCAAAGGAAACACGGTCTCTCTGGTCACATCTGTAGAATGAGCACGTGAGAAATTAAAACTAACACTTTGAATCATGGAGGAGACAAATAAGAGACAACCCACATGGGAAATGGATGGATGATGTGAAAGAATGATGCAAAAATAGTATTCAGGAACTGGTTCACTGTGCCCTAGACAGAGAAAGGTGGAAAAGGATGGTGAAAATGGTACGGGCACTACTCCCATGGACAGTGATAATGATGACTTGACAGGCTTAAAATCTACAACTCTGCAAGAAAAAATGCATGCAACCCACCAGAACCTACAAAGCTTGCATCCAGAAAAAGTTGTTCATAAGTGCTTTGGTGTTAGTGGGTTTTAGAATGTTTTAAACATACAATACTTACCAAATTATGCAAGTGCCATTAAAAATCAGAGTTTTTGTCATCCAGATTTTAATAATATTTAAAATTTTAAATTTCAATATTATGACAGATTATAAAAAACTGTACATGCAAGAATAATTAAAAGAAACACTCCACATAAGTAATTGTAAAAGGTATGATTACTTTATTACAGAGACCTTTAAATATATTCAAGTATCAAAATGGCAGAACATCTTTCTACTAGGGGACATTTCAATGACTTATGTATATTGCAGACTTTGTATACACACACAGTGTGCATTCACAATAAAGAACAAAATCACATACAAAATCTTACAAATGTGACACATTATACAACAAAAGTGTTCTATCCACAACCCCTACTGGAGAATAAATTGTAAAATGTAGGGAATTAAAATAAGATGTATCTGTACAAGACCATTTCACTCTTTTCCTTTTTCGACTCTGCTGGTACCATACCTTAGATTTTTAAATTACTTTGCACCATGAGTGTCAGAAACTATGTTGCTTTTCCCTGATGATTTAAAACAATAGTACTTGTTTTGTTTCTATTTGTGAATAAATTATGGGTAATTGTATATTCCCATAATAAATTTCTATATTTACAGCTGCCAGATATATTTTATATTTATATATATAATATATTTATATCTCACAATCTTGAGTTATTTCAAATTGTCAGATCTAGATTCAAACTGGCAATTTAACTATATATTAATTTTATATATGAAAAACAAATATTCTGGAAGCCCAACAAAACATGCATTTATAAAACTCTGGGAATGCACCAAAATTGTTTTTTTTTGCCTTTCTTACAGAAAAGCTTTCATGTGTTATCTGCTTGTCGGCAATGACATTTTTTCAAATTAAAATGCAAAATATTTAACGAGACAACCCTATGTGAGTTATTTTTACTTTTGTGAAACTTAAAAAAATTGATCTCTAAAAACACAAACAACAAATTAGACTAATACACAAAAAAATCTTGTATAAAGTTCTGTTCAAATTCTCTATGTGGATTTAAATATTGACGTCATGATCTGTTTGTTTGATATTTAATTTCACTTTTTAAGCTTTTTTAAAGTCTTGCTAAACTGACTTTCCTTTCAGCATCAAGTTTATAAACTTCTCAAACAAAGTTTCCAAACATGAAAGTTCTTCACAACTTATAAGGCACTCCAATCTTGCCAACTTAATTCCAATAACAGATATCTAGCAAATTTCTACACCTTATTGTAAAATTTAGATGAGATTCTTTGATGGCCTCCAAAATATCTTCTAGCCTCAGGAGATCAAAGGACTAGTTGCCTGGGGCTGTAGCATTTGGTTTGGGCAGTGCAGTTGCCTAGCAACAGTCAAGTCAATTATTATAATAGTCTTATTTTTATGATTAATTCAAACTTCTTGATGTTTAGATGGTTGAGTAACTATAAAAGGTTCGCTCCACATGCGTCGCAGATCTCCCTGTAAAAAGTTTAAAATATTACAATTATTATAAATTACATTCAATTAATTTGTCAATAAATAGAAATGTTAAAAAAAGTTTCATAAAAATGTTACAAATTATATAATGGCATGTCTCATTAAATATAATACAAGTATTTTTAATTCATTTATTGACTTTGTTAAAAAAATTTAAAATAAGGCCATGTACACATTAGGAGTTTTAAAGAACCAAGAGTTCTGCATAGGTATACATACTCAAACGTGCGTTGATAGATTTTTGTTAGAACACGTGTTTCGTGGGTGTCAGCCGCACACTTTGAGATATATGTGCTGCCATGTTGTTGTACATTCAATCGCACGCTTTCGGGTAGAGTGGACGTACGTTGGCCAAAATGGAGAATGATCATTTTGATACTGATCTATTTATTGATGAAATCTAAAAGAGACCAGCCATTGTCAAATGATTTTATAGATATTCTAGAAGAATTTTAAAATTTGGGTTCATATTGTCTTAGTTTTGGATACAACGTCACAAACATTCCATGCGTCAGTCTATCTCGTAATATTGAGTGCACCCAAAATTCTTTTTGCCTCTGCCATCGTCTTTTATAGCGATGATGGAGGAGGCACACACAAGCAATTACTTTCACGTCCATTTCCAAACTGAGCCAGTGCTCACGCTCCACTAAATGGTCATCGAACACCGAGCTAACGCGTGGTGTGTACGCTGCTAACGCACGTTTAACGCAATGCAAAACGCCGAATGTGTACACAGCCTAAAATTAAATTATTGATACAGATGATACCTATTAAATATAATGAGTTCTCTAATTAATAAGAAAAAAAGAGAAATTGTATATATTAAAAGTTGAAAATACAAGACAACACAGAGAGAAGTATAACTAAATTGTGGTATTAAAATAAAATTCTAGTCCATTTGAAAGTTATTGTACAGATTGTTTACAAATTATAACATTTAAACAATGTTAAAATCCTATTGAATGCCAACAATTAAACACTAAACTTCAAAATTAGAAAACTAAAGTATTATTAAAAATAAAAAATATTCAAAAATATCATATTCATATTCATTTAAAAAGTATAAGATTTGGCATGGATGCAAATATTATATATATTCATCAATTAATGTAAGTAATTAAAATTATAAGTTAACTTTAAAAACATACATTTCTAAAAATCATATTTTATGTACAGCAGACTATGCTAATATAGCCAACCTTGGGTGGCAGATTGCATGAGTGTGTGTGGGCCTAAAATCAATGAATGGTAGGACCTGTTGCCCTTCAGTAGCAATTCTTTTTGGAGGCAGGATGGCAAATAATACAGTGCACTAAAATTCAATATTCTACAAAGAAATGAAACCTGGTAAACAAGACAGTGCATAAGCAATTACACTGGATGGGTATGCCCGATAACTGAGATGCTGGATCAGCAAGAATCTACTGTATTCATGATATAAAAGAGTTTGAGAAAACTAAAGACTTTTAAAATAACTATTAAGAAAATATATGTAACTATTCAAAAAATATTATACATCTGCATATGAACAAAAAAATAAAATATTCAAGTATTTCTTGAGTATATAATTACACAAAATTATAATCTGTTTAATGGAAAGTTCTAAATTTTCTGTAAAACAAATACGACTTTTTTAAACAGTTCTCTACAAACAAACTGAAATAATAACGACATTACAGAATAAAGAACTAGGCTCTTGATTATGGATAATTAAAACTCAAAGACACTGAAATCTTTTAATATTTTAAAATCAAAACTTAATTATATTTTCTTATAAATGATTTATTTTTACATCTTTTTGGTTTGATTAATATATAGAATAAATAAAACTATTAATCTATATCAAAAAGATTATTTAAACAGACTTTTAACATTTTAACCTAGAATATTTGAGTATATTATTCAAAGTATTTAATTTATACACATTTAAATTTTTGAATAACATAACCTTTAAAACAATTATTTAAAAAATATTGTATTTATTCGCATATAGGACAAGGTGTGACTTTAAAGATCAAAATAATCGACAACATAATTTGTTTATGTAAAGCTGGACAAACGGGAACCTTTTTTTTTGCCAATTCTTAACAGTCAAATCCACTCTCCATCAATTACACTTACGAGTTTATCCAAATTCTGATTTCCGAATAATCATCTGTTTTCACGTGGGAATGGATTAAAACTTATATCGGGCTCCTGTGTGATTTTGGAATTTCAATCTGGAATTCAATTCAAAAGCTTTGCTATTCTTATTGCTATTCATCTTTACTCCTGACAAGATACAAGAATGATTCAAATGATCCAGATAAAATACTTGTTTTTAAATACAAGACGGTAAGCATCCAGTAAAAATTGCGAATACACTGTTCACAAAAATTACTTGCAAAAATGCAAAGAATCTTTCGTTCACGCTTATAGGATGACCTAGGAATTTGAAGCTGTGATAAATGAATAAAAACCTTGTCTTATATGAGAGTAAATACGGTATATAAAAAAGGTCTATTAAATTTTGACAGCAGAAAAAAAAGTCTTGTTTTTGAATAATTTTAATCTCAATATATTCAATAGTAATTAGTCTGGTAATTTCAGAATTTATTCTTACCTTTAGATAAGCCATCGTAAGTAAAGGTAACAGAGTAAATGGAACTAAGTAGAGAAGAGCTGGCTGAGCAGCTTTAAATACTTCTGATGATACAGTAGCTGTCAATAAACCTTTTAAAAAAATTATATCATTTAAAATTACCTTCAAAACAAAATTTTTAAATACTTGTATTATGTAAAGGTATTAATTTTTTTTTTAACTAAACATATTTTAATAGAGAGAAATATATTTTAATTATATTTTAACTACTTCATAATTATAAATATCTCCAAAAATATACAGGGTGTCTGAGAAAGATCTTTACTACTTTGAATAGTAGTAAAGATTCAGTAATTCAAATTCATAAACACAAAAACAAAATGGTCTATTGACATGCAGTTTACAGTAAAAGAAATCAAAGATTATTTTATTAGCACACATTCAAAAAACCTCTGAATTCCTTAGACTCTAACAGAACAATTCTCTAGCCTGTTCCAGATTCATACAATGTTGATGAGCAGCCATAATCTTTTGAGTTCTGAACACTTCTTGTATCTTTAAATTTCTGCATTCAAGCGTAAATTGAAGGGACACTTGGTGGTGGTGTTTGTGGTGTTCTGTAGTTTCAGTAATATTTTCTTTGCACAGTTTTAATGATTTTGTTTTAGCTAATCACAACACACACATTACACTTTTACCTATATTAACACCATTTTTAATTCCGCAAGCCACTAGTACTGTACCATTATAAACATTTGCACTAAAACACTTTTGAGTTATTCTTTCTTTTATCACAAACCTCATTTCAATAGACTGCTTTATTTTTGTATTATGAGTTTGTATAATAAGAATCTTTCTTCGGCACCTTTTGTATGATGTCAATTTAGAAAGAACAAGAACAAACTACTAATTAGAATTCAATCAAAGTTACTCTTTCTTCGTTTAAACTACTTATATTGTAAGTTCAATTATAAATCATATATAACTAAAAGATGTCTTCACATCTTTCATTGTATCTGATTTATAATTGAGCTTAAAATGCAAGCTTAATTGTTTCACTTGTATGAAGCAAGTATGATTGTTTCATACAAATGAAGCAATCATTTTACTTCTTAATAACTGTTTTACAGCCTTCTAGCTTTTACACAATCAATAATTTTAACAGTTACTACATTTCATTAATCTATACTTTCTAGAATAGAATAGAATTCTTTGAATGTTTGAAAAATATATCATTACAGATATTTAACAGTAAAATAGTTTAAACTTTCATTAAAAAAACAAAAAAGATATTTCTATTTAATAACATAACTTTTCTATTTCAACAACATTTAAACTGTAAGAACACAACAAAATGCTGCTTGTTTAAGGTAAATGATGCTAAATTTATCATCAATAATGATCATTTTTAGATAGTTTTTCAATTAGTCTCTAGTGAAATGGTGAATTCAAAATATTGCATGATACATGCAGAAGGTAGAAACAAAATAGAAAATGCAAATATTTGCTTATGGCATGTGTTTCAAAACACTTCTTACCTATCACTATTAATTAAATGCATCATGATACTTCTGTTTATATTAAGATATAAACAGTAGTTATTTGTACAGTAATAGTTTATTTGTAACAGTATGAGAATTTTTAACATCTAACTTTGTTGTTTTATCAATTACTCAATATTTTTCAATTAATAAAGTTAATTTTTATGAATGTATAGAGGTATGCAACATGTGTAGTATGAACAGAGATAATTAATTATATGTCATTATGCATTTATTAGTGATTTTTTTCCATCAGTATTTGAATAATGCTAGATATTATGAATGTCTTATGATATAAAACAACTAAAATAAAAGAATAAATCTCTCTTAATGATTTACCTAAAAAATATCCTATCAATGAACAATGGAAATAAGATATTTTATTAAGTTGATTAGGAGGAGGAACACCTGCTTCTGCTGAGCTTAGTTGTGATTTTTTGTAAGCATCATATCTTAAAACAAAACAAAGCAATAGTCCAGGCATAACCTAAAAAGTATTATTTATCATCATTAAATATACTTTTAACACATAAGATAAATTTAATAAAATTTAGTTAAAATAAGATTCATAATTTTATTTTCTTATAATTTATTTTTATTACATAAAATATATATGAAGTATATGTATAACTTTATGTAAGGCAGTCAAATTTTTTTTTCTATTTTAATTAATGTGAACTTTTTTGACCAAATTTTTAATTGTAACAGGTTTGTTAAAGCTTGCTTAGTATAACAAACCAATTAAATGAGATTTTATATAATAATTCTTATAAAAGTTTAATATTTTATTTTTATACTTAATTTTACAATTTAAATATAAAAACCTAAAAGTACAAATCCTGTTATTTTATAACTTTCTCAAAATTTTAACAACTATTTAAAATTTCTTTCTTAGTCATTGTGAATCACTGCAACAAATAAATAAAAACAATGTAGTTAAAATTTTAAAGAGAGATAATTAAGATCTTACTTAAAATTAGATTCTTGGATTCATAAAATTTGAAATTATCCAAACTTTTTTTATAATTAATTGTAAATCTAGTTGCATTATAAGTATCTATTGTTATTTTTCCATGTAGCAAAAGAATGAAAGGGCTATTATTTCTAACAAAAAGCTTAATTTGACATAAAAAAAACTATATAAATTATTTNCTTCCTAGAACGATTGTGGGTGGTACTGTCACCACCTGATTCGGTGGGGTGAGATGCGCCACCCCTTTAAACGACGTGACAGTGGGTTAGTCTGCATAGCTCTCATACTCGTGTTGTAGTTTACAATCTAAAATAACTGACTTTTTTTAAATGAATATTTTTATTGTTTCTTTTTAATTGATATACATTACTTTAACCTAAAAGTGAAATATATTAGACTTCATGTCCATTGATAGATAAGCAAGAAACGAGAAAATTATCATCCAGGCGTTAAAACCGAAAGTGCCGCCATTATCGAAACTTGACAAATAAAAATTTCTTATAAAAAATAATTTTTGAAATTTTTAATTACATCGTTGTAAATTTAGACATAATAATGTAAATAAAGTTGATTTAAATATTTAGTTTGCACTTTTATACATACGATACTAAATTAGATGAATTTTATAATAGATTCTTAAACAGACTTGATACTTTTATGGAACTGAAATTATGACCCCGCAGATAACGACACTCGGTTATAACGTCAAAAAATTGCCGGTCCCATGGATGATGTTATAAGCAGGTTAAACTGTATATCTATTTTCTTTATGCAAAATAAAAAAATAATTTTGGATGATACAATAGCCACAATTGTTATTTTCTAAAATGTAGCATTTTCATTAGCAAAAAATAATAAAAATGTGGAGCAACATGTGATGGAAAAAAATTCCAACGTGGGATAGGTTAAACAAGAAAAATTTTGAAAAAAATGTTTTCTGAAAATGGTAATTGTTGAAAAAAAATAAAAAATTTAGTAAGATAACAAGCTATATTTTTTATTACGTGGTTAATTTATTAAATACATATTAGACAAAGGACTTTTAAATTTCTTTGTGCAAACTTATTAAATCCAAAAATTCTATAGTAATTTACAGTTAGTAGTAATTTAGTAAATAATAAATGATTTTAGTATTTTACCACATTTTGTTATTTGAAATCATCTATCATGTTGAAGTATAGGTCTTGTTACGTCTTCACATGGATCCAAGGTCAAGCTAATGAATATATGGGATCTGGCTATCCTTGTAGTATATAGTCCTTGGGTAATTGGCAAAATAAATATGTTTTAACAAGGTAATTGTTAGTATGGACTGATATTCCTTCCTATAGAAATAATTTACAGAAAAGCAATATAACATGGTTCCAAAGCCATTTGATAGGAATATTTGTTGTTATATTATTATTATTATTTTTTTATCTCTAACTTCAAAATTGTATGTAGGAACCATTCAATATCAAATCTATCCAGAATAAAAAAAAATCATCAAATGATGAAAGATAAAATAATCAAATACTAAATCATTATTAAATTATGTATGATCCACTAAGCATATGAGCCAAGAATAACTAAAATATCATTAGCTATTTTAGTCATAAAACATCAACTGCTTTTAAAATGTTGTATGGGATAAGGCAATCTGCCAGGACAGATGCCTCCCAGAAGGACTTTCTATGGGGAACTGGCACTTATTTAGGCATTAGACATTTGAAGGAAATCCAAAAAAAACTCCAAGCAACCCATTTGTCAGGTGCGAATCTGGGACCAATTACCAGTGTTCAGTGGTTCTATCCATTGAGCTACTGGTGGACCTTATTTAAAATATCTGAAAAAGTGTTTTATAAAAGATCATCATCAAGTAGTAATAAGTATGATTATTACTAATTTTTATCAATTTGAATTTAAAAAAAATATATATCATTAATTAATGTTTTAGTTTTTAACATCATCAACTGGCTGCTTTTTTAAGTCATACATATTTGTGAATTATATACCGTATTTTTGCAGATTGCTTGGCATGCTGGTCTATTTGGGGAGACCATGTAATCAGATATTTCCATATGTAAAAACTAGTTGGTTTATGTGAGGTTATACATTCCTCTCCAGAGGGTGGTTAAAAAAAATGAAACAAGATATATCATGTGGCATCTCATAGATGCCAGTTTTTATTCTAAAATTGTGAAAGTGTCAGCATTACATCAAAAACTAAGATTATATGTTTAATCTCTGCATTTTGTCTTCTTTCTGATGTAAAATACTCGTGAAATGCCAAAATTGCTTTTTTTAATGTTATTTTATTGTAATTTGATCTAAAAATGCAAAAATAAACATCAAATTTCAGAAATGTCCTGTAAATTATCTCAATTTACAAATTAGCATCTGCTTTGTGTGAAATTTGAGAGAAAGGTGTTATCTTTCAAGGTCAGGGTAGTAAAACTATTTCAAACAGATTATCAGTGCAGCCCACACTGACTAAGTAACTACAACTACAGTCAATAAGTTGCTAATTATTTTATTACCCTGTAAACAAAAACTCTCTTCCTGGTTGTAAGTCCGCCAAATTACAATGTTGTTATTTTATTGTACTCAGAAGAATATTTTCTTTAACATTTATTTAACAACTAGTTCTATTATATCTGATTAACTTTATTTTTTAGTTGCAATTTTAACTGGCATGCCAATAACCCTGGGGTCTGGCATGCTGGTCTCCCTAGTTATAATTGGCATGTGGTCAATCCACGAAAATATGGTATAACATTCATTTAAAAATCAATTATTATAAATTTTATGTTAAATTTAACTAACAAAAGAATAAGTTTTATTCAAAACTCTCAATATATCATGATACAAATGAGTGATTAAATTGTTTCATATATGTTAAATATACTTACAATATCACCAAGTCCCAACATAGAAAAATGTCCACTGTTATGCATACTATAACATTAAATTCAACACATTATTATTGAACTAATATAAAGTAAATCTTAGATAATAAAAATTATATAAATTACTATTTAAGATAAAGTTTTATTTAATTAAATAAAATTTCAAATATGTTTTTCTAATTGCATTATTTTATCAGAAATGTCATTTGGATCTAGCCTTAATACAATTGTAGTGGAACCTTATTATCTTAGAGGAGGGAAATTCAGAGTTTGAGTTTTGAATTATTAAGGTTTGCCTCAAAATTGCAAATTGCTACTATTGGAAATGTGTAATTCTTTAGCAACTTCTGATAGTAGTTATTAAAGAATTACATATACCATATTTCCACACAGCTGTTGTCAACAATGCAGATTTGAGGTAATTATATATGATCAGTTGTTTGTATCTTTCGTTTAATCATTCAGAGAAGTTATTTAATGTTTTGAACACAAGTTAGTAAATATATTTATCACTACTCTTATTCTTGCAAACAAACCAGCCTTTGAAAAACAATTGTCTAATGTAAAAGAAGATATATCATTTCATACATTTTGCAACTGCTCAATGCATCTTTACTAGTGTTGTAACGAATAGTATATTCGGCCTCAGGCCGAATACCGAATATTCGGCCAAGAGCATGGCCGAATAGCTGAATATTCAGCCAAACTATTCGGCTTGATTAAAGCATGTACGAAAATTGGCGCGCAAACCGCATTATGGCAAGGATCCTGCTCTCTATTGGCCTGCTGTCACTATGCTTCACCAATTGCATTAATTCTTGGCAGTTGTAGTGGACAGACAAGAGTGTTATGGAAAGTATGCGATAAATGATGATATCAAATGTGGATAACAATGAAATGACCTACACGTGTAAATAACGGAGAAAGAACAGAGAAGGACTGCGAAGTGAAAATGTGAAAATAAATATGAAATTGAGTCGATAACATAATCGAACAAGTCGAGGCAGCTTATTGGCACGAAATTCGCGGCCGTCAATGACAAACAATTGTTGTCATAGACTTCGGAAAGCTAAATGCATGTNAATATGTATACTTATTTTTTTCTCTCATACATACATAGTATGAAAATAATGTTAAAGCATGAGAATAAAATACAAACTTTAACTGAATGTGTTTTTATAATGCAAATCTATCATATCGTCAAAATTGATAAATTACATATAAACAGTCATCAATCTGACATTTTCAAATATAGGATAGAATTGAACTTTATTGATTTTTCTATTTGATTCAATTATGATGATTATGAATATAATGATATATCTCAAAATTATTTAAACTTTTAATAAAGAATCTGGTTCTAACAAATACTTATAAAAAAACATTATACCTATTTGATGCTTTATAGAAATCCAATAAGCTTTAATGAGTAATGTTTTTCGTTTTTCACAGATCAGCATTAACTTATAAAATAACATTTATAACAAAATCTTTAAAATGGATACAAAAAATACAAATATATAATGTTTGAAATGTATGTTCAGCATTAATAAAAGTTACCAAAATGATTAATTTACTGTGTTTTTGTTATTTATTACTCCTGTTTTTAGGTATTCAATATTCGGCCGAATAGTGATTAAATATTCGGTATTCGGCTGAATAGTGAAAAATAGGCCAAATACCGAATAGTAACCAAATATTCGTTACATCACTAATCTTTACATTCTTCAAGGGAATATTGTGTAAAATCTCTCATATCAAGAAATACACAATTCATTGTTGGTATCTTTTTTAAACTGCTTCTTTAATCTATAATTATGCCTCAATCTAGAAGTTACAAAACACTTCTTTTGTTTGGTGGTAGACCTCTAATGCTTAGAAAATTCAAGCCATTGATGTTATGAGAAGAAATACCATCCAATAGAACAAAATGTTCCTATTTTAAGCGGTTATTTTTATACACCTAATCTTACAAAAGCCATTAAATTTCTAATCAACAAATGTTTAAAGTGAAGTTAAACTAACCAATTGAAAAGTTAAGTGTTACTTTCCTAAGCAACTGATGCTCAAATGTTCTAAATTATAACATATTAATTAATTTATCTCAACTTTTGTGTTAGCTGAATTTATGAGTAAAAAGAAATCAATAATTATTGATAAAGTACTAGCAAATTATTATGTCTGGTTGCACATTTAACATGAATGGAAAGTACTGCTTATTATAAAAAAGGAAATGTACCTTGGGAAAACAAGCTTGCCTGGTAATGGTAGTTTTGGAGCTTCTCTCACAACACCACCCAAATGAAACTTCTTTGCCATAATTCCAACCTAATTGTTTTAATTTAAACAATTTATAATTAAAACTTCTGTTAAGCTATTAAAAATTTAAAGTTGAAATTAATCAAGACTAATTTAATCTCATAAAAAAATTCAAAGTATTCATTACATTTTGTTCAAAATGTATAATTGATAAAATGAAATGTGTAATTCTTTAGCAACTTCTGATAGTAGTTACTAAAGAATTACATATACCATATTTCCACACAGCTGTTGTAAACNTCTGTTTATGTGTCAAAATATAAAAGAAGAAAAATAAGAATAAAAAAATATATATAATTAAGAATACTACAGGAGTTAATAAAATAATACTAATTTATCATTTTAATTTTTACATATACACAGTATGTCACTTGCAGCCTTTTCATATATGACTATGACATTAACAAAATTAATAAATACATCTTCAGTACTTTTGGAATAAAATGGGTGCAAGGTACTTTTGACTCATCCTATATATTTTATGTATAAGTAAATTTTGTAATCTATATAAACATACAGTATTTAGCAGAAACTTACTGGATTTTCAGCTGGTCTAGTTGCAACTTTAACCATAACATTAGCATTAAATATATATGACGAAAAGAATACCTAAAAAAACAAATAAATTTATTATGTTTCTTTCAAATTTCAAAAATTTATATACAACTCAAAATAAATTACAAATATATAATTAAAATGATAATAATAATAATAATAATAATAAAGCACCTTAATTAAGTCAGGTTTTAAAAAGTTAAATTTTTTCAGGAAATGTTCCATTATCAGGCCCAATTATAAGATACATTATTTAATTAATTAACTTTTTGGATGTTTGAGGTAAATATCTTATCCAAGATTTCCTTCTAAAATGCTGCAAATATCTAGCCACAAAAATTAACTACAGGTATTTACAACTTCACCTTAAAATGGTTTAATGAACTACTGCTTTATTATGAAATCCAATCTCTTTAGTTAGTTTATTTTGATATTATATAATTACAAAAGTCCTACACCAAAAATTATTATTTTTTTCATCTTATTATCTATATTAGAGATTGATTTTTAAAAAATATTTAATTTAATTTTTTTTAATTTAGTAAATTTAAATTATTTAAATTTTTATTATTGATACATACATTAAGAGAATCTTTTATTAATAAATGATTAATTTAGCAATACCAAATGTTAGAATATTTCAATAATATTAGAGTAATGGTCAATATTTCAGAATATTGAAAATTACCATTGAAATTGTAATATTTATTTTTATTGAAATACCAAATTATCTAAATAGAAGTGTTATATTATAAGATTAAACTTCAGGAAATTTTCACTAAATGTCTTAATTAAATTACCTAATAAATACAAATATGTATACTTATTTTTTTCTCTCATACATACATAGTATGAAAATAATGTTAAAGCATGAGAATAAAATACAAACTTTAACTGAATGTGTTTTTATAATGCAAATCTATCATATCGTCAAAATTGATAAATTACATATAAACAGTCATCAATCTGACATTTTCAAATATAGGATAGAATTGAACTTTATTGATTTTTCTATTTGATTCAATTATGATGATTATGAATATAATGATATATCTCAAAATTATTTAAACTTTTAATAAAGAATCTGGTTCTAACAAATACTTATAAAAAAACATTATACCTATTTGATGCTTTATAGAAATCCAATAAGCTTTAATGAGTAATGTTTTTCGTTTTTCACAGATCAGCATTAACTTATAAAATAACATTTATAACAAAATCTTTAAAATGGATACAAAAAATACAAATATATAATGTTTGAAATGTATAATATTTAAAAACTTGAAATTTTTAAATTCAAAAAGACAGCCAAATAAATATTTTAATGTAATGATATAATAATAAATATTTAGTTATATCATAACTTTTAATTAATTAATTTATAAATAATTTAGATTGTAATATAACTACTGTAATAGTACCAATAAAAACAAAATTTTAGAATGTTAATTTAAAATATATTATGTAAGAAAGCTTGAGTTATATATTGTTTAAATGATGAAGTCAGAAAACACTGTAAATCTTAATATATAGTAAAATGCATATACATACACATACATACTTTACAGAACATGTATGTAACAGAATCATTAATGATTTTATATTTATGACAAAATTATCCTAAGTTTAAGTTAATCTGTTAAGTTAACCCTTTTAATCTGTTAAGTTTATATATAAACAGTTGCTTCGCTATTCTTACAAATATATTTTCAAGTAAATACATAAATAAGGTTAACAATCCTACAGAATTTTTAGTTTTCACAGAATAAAAATTAAATTAAAGCTATGAAGTCATCAAGTTTACATACAAATTATATACTAATATAATGCTGTTTAAAAAAAATCACAGTTCATATTATTTCTATTTTATGGTAAATTAAAAAAAATCAAACTATATACATACCCAGAATACATCATAAATCAATAATCCTGTTAATAATAGTGTAGATACTTTTAAACTGGGTAATCTTACAAATGCAATAAATGCAACACACAAACCCATCCCCATAGCTATAAAAATAATACAAAAACAGTTAATTATTTTATGTTTCATTGCCGTTGTTAAGATAAAAAGTTTGGTTGTTCTTTTATGTGCTTTTTATTTTTGATCTATTATGTGTAATCACCTATTCTTACAATAATGTTTATAAAATATTATTGTCATTATTATTAATGAAATTCAATCCATTAATCTCCTAATCAAAAGTCTGCTGTAATGTTATAATAATCATATTTTGCATATTTAATAAGTTACAGCTTCTAATTCATCTGTTATTAAGTTCCAAATAATCTAAGAATTGTAAAAAAATGAAACTCAGTAAAACATATACATTTAAAATAAATGAATAATAAGATTCTATGTTCTAATATAATAAAATAATTATGGATTAACTAGACATTCAGAAGTACTACTTCAAACAAAATTTGTTGGTCCTATTTTATACAGTCAAATTTCCATATTATGAACTTCTATATAGCGAATTTTTTCATATAACAAATTTTTGCACTATATGCTGATCTTTCAGCCAAAACTATATGTAAAATTGCTTCTTAATAATGAAGTTAAGTTTCTATACAACAAATTTGTTTTTAATTTGTAAAGACCATTGATCATTAAAAGTCAATTACAGGTAACCCCCGTATAACACAGTAGTTACGTTCCAAAAAATTGCCGTGTTATGCGAAACAAAGAACCAGTACGAAAAGGAGGGTTAGGTTCCAAAATTTAAAATACATGCTATTATATTTTCATAATTAAGATAAGAAAATTTTAATAAAGATATTTAAGTGATACATATTAATATGAATTAAATAATGTTTTCTTCGTTATCACTAAAAGCATTATTAACCGAGGATAACTCGCCAAAAGGAAAACGGCAAGTTATCCTTATCCTCTGAGCATTTTTCTGCATTATCTTCAGATCCATGCTTTACCTTTTGCAAAAAGTATGTAATTTTAGATTGCTTGCTTCTAGTTAAAAGATCTTTATAAATTTCCTCATATGGTGCTAAGCACTTATGAAGAATAAAGCAAGTATGAAATAAGGGAAAAACATCTGGCAACATCAGAAGCAGAAGCGTCGAGATCTGGCAACACTGAAACAAGTTTCGAGAAGGACCATGTGTATCAACAGAAGGCGAGAAAAGAAAATTTACATACTTAAGTACTAATAGTTCACGAAAATAATAATTTTTGTGAACTATTATTACTTAAGTATGTAAAAATTTATTACATTTCATGTTGTACGAGGGTTTTACCCAATTCTCGAACCATGTCAGAGTGAATCTGTGCTATAACAGTACCGTGTTATATGGGGGTGGTACCAATTCTCAAAATGTGTTAGAGTGAATCCGTGCTATAGAAGTGCCGTGTTATACGGGGGATGGTACCAATTCTCGAACCGTGTTAGAGTGAATCCGTGCTATAGAAGTGCCGTGTTATACGGGGGTTACCTGTACTTTATTTGGGTCAAATTCAAATTCAGGTTCAATTTCAGGTATCAATCTGTGAACCTTTTGTAAAACCATGGCCCAGGCACAAGAAATACTGGTTGTTAGCTTTTAAAACCATCATTTAATCTGCTCCCCACATGGTTACTGTTTGTAACAAAAAAAGAGAAATTAGGTCCAAATGCTGTGGTTGACAGTTAGATAATTTACAATTAACGAATGTCAGAAATGTTAGAAAGGTTATCATTTTGACAACTGCTGGACTAATTTTTGAGGTTTGCAAGATTTTGTTTTATTTAATAACTCATCCAGTTGGAATTTAAAGAACTGTTAATATAATGTTTAACATTACTAAAAAATTAATGTGTTGTGAGAAGTTGATAAAGGCTCAAAAAAGAAAGACATAGTAGTCAAATTTGGAATTCCTGTGAATAATTTATCAACTATAATAACAAATCATGAATCAATTTTGAAGTTAGACAATGACGCAAGACCTACAGGAAAATGCACTAGAACCTATATTTACATTGATATAGATGAAATTGTTAATGTTCTTAATAAGTGTGAAGCATATTATGAAGCGAGAACATTTTTTTAATTGTTCTGTGCACAAAAATTAAAATTTTTTTAAATAAAATATAGTTAAACTAAGTTGTAAGTACAGTATTTTAACACAAATGTAAACTTACTTAAAATTAAAACTATGTTTATATATTATATTATTACTGTGTATTACATTTATATTAATTTTAAGTACATAAAATAATACTTTATTTACCAAAATTTTGATTTCTGTATAATGAAATTTACCTACAGCAAACTTTTTTTGGGATTTAGTGACTTTGTTATATAGAAGTTTGACTGTATATATTAACATGAACTTGAATATCACCAAATTTATATTTTAATCTAGATATGGGGAACCTTAATATTATTGTGTAATATCCTCTAAAAGCCAAACTGAATGTTGAATTCAGCTTATAGATGATATTGCACATTATATTTTAATATCAACTATTAATTTTTAACATATTTTTATACTAAAATTAGAAAAGATTTAAAAAAATGAATTATACTGATAAACTATAAAAGGTCTGTCAGGTTTTGGTAATCAATTATTACTATTATATTTGGAAAACGTTTCCAGATTTAATTATAAATCAATAATATATATACTAAAATTATGATAAATTAATGAACTAAAACATAAAAATATTTTAAAATAATTGCTTTATATTTTAAAAAATGTGTAATCCTGTATTTTAAAAATGTACAATTTTAATTTTAACAATTTACTGATAAAAGTTTCCAATTTTGTTACAGATTTAACCAACTAATAAAAGAACATATCAAGTACTAAAATTAATGACAGTTACTGCAAACTAATGGATAACACACACAAGAACAGCCAAAATTTTTAAATAAAATTTATGAGAAATTGCATAAATATATGAATATTAATTATTTGAAATAATATAGTAATATTTTAATTAATATAAAATTTTACCATCCATCAATAGCCAATGACCAGTTAACACCCAGATACACACAATTGTAACAGATAATGAGAAAGAAACAAGTTCTGCTGCTGTGAAACGACCACACATTCCAAATGAGATTCTAAAAATATAAATACTGCATAAATATTTGAAAGTTGGATCAAAAAGAAATTATAAATGTCAAATAAAAATTTTATATTTTAGAAAAACAATAAAATGACAACTGCTTAATAAAATAAGTAATTCTGTTATATCATTAAATTTATTGATTATAAAAATATTTTCATCTTATACAGTGGCACCTTGTACTTCAAATTTAATTCAATCCAAGAGGTGATTCAAAGTTTTAACTGTTCAAAGTCCGAATCCATTTTTTCCCCATTAAAAATAATAGGAAGTGAATTAATCCATTCTCAGACCCTGAGTAATACACATTTTGATAAATTATATATTTGCTGTTTTAAGTTTAAGTAAAAATAATACAGTTAAATGGCTTAATAATAAATTAAAACATAAAACATAAAAATCCACGAATAAAATACATATATACTATATAAAAAAATGAAAACTTCATTTATTGGTTGCACTGTGGATTCCCCACATTTTAACATAAATATGTGATAATCTCCATCAGACAAAAAATTTACAGATAAATATGTGATTTAATTATAGCAGTTGTGAAATTTAACATATTATAGATAATGTGAGATTTTATCCCTTGTTTAGAATCTTATTTTAAACTCTTTATTTAATATCTTTATTCAGAGACTTCACATTTTATTAAAATAAAATGTGAAGTCTTTGGATAAAAAACATATTGGGCATATTATGCTTTATGACTTTCGAAAAAAATATAATACCATATAAACAGTAAAAAGAATTGTATTATGTATGGGGAAGATGCTCCTAAACTTTGAACATGTCAAATGTAATTTAAAATGTTCCATTCAAGAAATTTTGATCTAAGGGATACAAATGATGCCCAAAAGCCATGGACAAAGAAAAATTGCAGGAAGAAATTGTTAAAAATGAATAGTACATCAAAACAACACGTGGTACAGATATACAAAGAAACACTCCAAATATAAAGCAGAAAAGTCACTGAAAACATTCAAGCATAATGTGAGAACAAGAAACTAGTTGGACACACAACAGATTGTGTTTATGCTTTGAGCACATTTTTTTTACTGCGTGCACAGTTCAAACTCTGAAGCAAATTTTGTCAAATTTTGTATTCAATCTCTAAAGCATTTGAAGTATGAGATACCATTGTAACTATTTTCGAAAATTAAATAGCAGATTAAAAAATATCAATTATAAAAGTAAATTGTAATCAACCACAAGACTGAATTACCTTAAATGAATCATCAACAACAAAATGGCTACTTAACATATTTAAGCAAAATCTAACTTTTACAGATTTTTCTAATTCAACTTTCTATATGCTTGTTTCAAAATGTTATGCAATGGTAAACAGTAACTTGCAATAGAATGTGAACAACAAAAGAATATTAAAAATGAAAAAATTATATATATATTCTTTCCATATTTGAAATATCTTCATATTTTTTTCAAATCCTTCTGATCTGTTGTGGATTAGCAAATTCATATTCAAATTTTCTTATAAATTAAACTATAAAAATATTTGAAAGAAATCAAAAATATATCAGTTAATGTTCCTTTGTTTCTAGTTCCAAAAAATCGCTGGGTTCTTTTTAAATTTATACAAATTAATGTATGAAATAATAAATCAAGCATTTACACTTTATATGTAGTTACAAATAACAATATTCCTAAAGGGGAGTCAGATAATTCAATATCCTTCCATTTTGGAACATTTTATTCCGTTGATTCATTTTCTATTCAAGATTATTTGCAATTATCTAAAGTAAGGGTTCTCAAACTTTTTGAAGCCATGACATCTTTTTGGAAGAGATTTTTGCTTGTGATCCCCTACTACTTTTTCTTTCCTATTTATCTCTCTCTCTCTCTTTCACAATTATGATATTATTCACAACCTTTTATCTCTATGAAAAAAGTTTCTCATTGATGACTGCCATCAAAACAAAAGCAACAAATTGTACTGAACTTGATAATGATTTAATTCTATGTATTTTGATTACAAGGCCTAAATTTGAGAAGTTAGTTTCTGAAAATAAGCACATGTTTCATACTAATTTTTTTATTGTAAATACAAAACAAATGTATATTAATAAGGTTTTTTTGTTTTATTATGTAAAACCTCTCATGACTGACACTTTAGCAACCATGGTTCTAAGGAAATTTATCTATCTATCTTTGTAATTTGTAACTTTCATATTCTAGCAAATGCACTAAGCCTAGACTAAACTTCAACTACTCTAAAGTTATAAAGTTCTTCGGTGCTCTAAACTTCAGTTGGTCTGACTTCTTAAAATTCTCCTTCACTTTTTGAAAACTAACTAGATTGGAAAATCCTAACTCTACAATTACAAGTCAAATAATATGTCTAAATAACAATATTCTTCATTATTTGGTCACTACTAGATCCTAAAAAGAAACTCAAATTCAAATCCACTCTATTGAACTATGTCAAGATGCCACAGTCTACACTGTGCTTCAAACAGTTTGTTTCAAAGTGTCATACGTTTTAAAAATCAACACTGATTGAGTTTTACCCTAACAATATTATCATTATCAAGTAACTTTTCAACTTATTTTTAATCTACAATCATATGTAACATCTGATATTTTCCACACCTACTAGTTTTTTTCACAGGCATTTTTTTTTTTTACCAAATTGACTTGCTTCCACATCTTCATGCTATATTCTACCCATCTAACTGTGCAAAAATTTGTCCAAAAAAAGTTTTTCTGCTTATCACAAGCTTCTTCTTTGTATCACACAATTGTATGCATAAGATGGCAATTTTCCACCCAAAGACATAATTTTTGTCAAAGATGACTTCATGGAAGTCTCTCGCAATTGCTGCAAGAAGTAGGCATGACATCATGGTTATTTGTCAGCTATGAATGATAAAATGACAGAAATCTGCACGTTGCTATGACTTCAAACACTTGTTTCCATAAAATAGCTTGAGGCACAATGACCTTCAACAATTTAAATGTGTTTGTGCCTTTATTTCATGCCAAAAAATATCTCAGTCCTCCCATTGAAAAATATCTCAGCCCTCCCACCATTCCTTTCTTGATGAATTCATTTCATATTTGCTCATTGTTCCTTCAGTAAATTTTTGTATACATTTCTTGTAATTATAATATAAAATTTATACTAATTATAAAAACAGGTTACAAAGTAAGAGTTTATTGTGTATGGTTTCTTTCAGTTGTGTGTATCTGTATTTTATATCCTGTAGAAATGGCAACTAACAGTGCAAATACAAAAATTGAAGAATCATCCTACCAGTAATTGATAATTTTAATTTATTTTAATTATAGTTTATTTCCTTGTATGTTACATTAAATACTTTGTATTATGTAACAAATAAATTCCATATTATTTAGTGTTATACTGTTTCCTTTTTGTTTGATGAAATATATATTCATTTAAAATACTATGAAACTTTAACAGGAATGGCTGTAAAAAGAAATTATCATTTCTTACATTAAACAAATTAACTACTTATATAATATTTCAAACAAATCACTTACTTATTTCCGTCTGAACAAGGCCGAATAATATATTGACACATAGGTAAGAGCAGAAAAGCTAAAGCAATGGTGGCTATAACTGTAATAATATGAAAATTCAAATCAGAATTCACAAAATTTTATTACTATTTTCTGTACAACTGAAAAAAGCTATTGATTTATTTATTAAATTATTTATTAATTCAGATATTAAATATAAATTATGAAAAAAATATAGAAAAAAATAGAAATCACTGAACATAAACATAATAAAAATTAGTTTGAATCTGATAGAAACTGAATAAATATAGTAAAATAATAATTTATAAATATATGTATTCCACTTACTTGCAGTACAGATAGCAAAGAGCATTTGCATTGAATCAAAAAAGAAAAACATCACTAATAACGATATGGAGGCGCCAAGCGGAAGACATAATGCCTGCATTGTATCCAAAGTCTGGACATCTAAACAACATAATCTTCTTGTTACAATGGATTCAGATTATTTTATTTCAAGAATTAATTACACATCTGACATTTAGTACATTCAAAACATATTAACTGTTGTGATTTATCAGAATATATAAATAAGTAAATTTAATACACACAATATTTATAATATAAAATCATTTTAACATATAATGAGTTAAAAGATAAGTCAACTTTATATAAAGAACCTTTTAATATTCAAACTATTCATGTAAATTAAAATGTTTTTCAGTCACATAATTTGAATCGTGTTAAATATATTATTAGCTTATATATTATATTATAAACTTTGTCAAAGCAAGATTATAAAACTTCAAAAATTATGTTTTTCTCTACTTTACATATTAATTAATTAAAGTATTTTTAAATCATTAAATAGAATTAATCTCTCATTTGTCAAGAATCTGCTTCAAATTATACACAAATATATAATTTAAAAACTATTATCTCTAAAAAATTATGTTTCCTTTTCTTAAACATAGCCCACAGACCATAAACTGGCTTTGACATATTTTTAAATTATAAACTAATTTGTTATTATATCAACATAAATATGAAATTACATTATCTATAATCTATCTTTGGGTTTATTATACTATTAAATAAGTTTAATATATGACTGTTACTTAAACTTGCTTATGAAAATAGCATTTACCAACAGTACTAAAAATTTCCATGATAAAATTACATATGATTAACATTTTTTAAAATTGATCATTTCCATTACTAGTTTCTATGGATATTTTAAAGCCTAAAATTTTTAGCTTTTTTTTCAGTAACTTACATCACACAAGAAACTCTTATTAATATAGGCTTTATTATTGGATATGAAATGCATTTCGGGTCTTTGTGACCCCTCTTCAGTCCTTATTTTTTAATGATTTTTTTGTATTCAATAATCAGCTATTAGCTGATTATTGAATACAGACTGAAATTAAAAATTGAGCAATTAACTGGATTTAATATAAAAATGTGATTAAAAAAGGTGCTGCAGATGGGTAAAATCACAAGTTGGTAAGATTTAAAACAATGTTTTGATAATATTTAATTTATGCTTTCTCATATTTATGATATTTTATTGCACACATTTTCAATAATTATTTATTGAAAATGTATTTACAAAACATCAATCGTCTATTATTTAGATATATTATTTTCAAAAAATGTACTGTTTTAACTTTTTTTCATTTTTTTTTTCAGCAGTTTTTTTCATTACTATATCATAAAATTATACTGTATTTATAATAGCCAGTGACTTCACTTTAATTAAAGTTTTCTATGGATTTTACTTTATATTTAACTTTTAATATAAATATTTGTTCAGCCTGCTTTAACAAATAGATGCAAACAAGTATTTTAGACTAAAATAATTCAAATATGCTCAGTGTTTCTCCTCATTTATTTAATAAACTGAAATAGTTTCACTTTAAAAAAATTGCAATTAATTAAATAAAAATAGGTTTATTTATTATCGTCTGTATAGTTAGACAAAGTAAAGAATTTATAATCTATGATATAACTACAAATTATTATGAATTTTTATGTGTAATTCTTAGTGAAGTATTTAATCACTAAAATACTTTGAAAAATGCAACTGGCCAAAATGTATTTTTAAATAAATAAATAAATTCAAATTTCATATTTTCTGTAAGAATTTGATAATCCTTTTAATATTCATTTCTAATAGATATGATTTATTTAATTTTTTTCTACAATTTATTTCATGAATGTTGACTTGCTACTATAATGTGTAGTAACAAAACTAATGTTAACATGTAAAGGATTACATGTTATATGAATTTAACAGGATCTGAGACAAATCTCAGGTTGCCTGCATTTGCTTTCTCTAAAAACTTTCCAGGTTCTCATTCTGGTAATGTGTAACTTCTAGCCAAGATTCACAAAGCCTGTATGTAATTAGCTTATTTTGTATTACTGAAATAAATCTTAATGATCTCATATTGTATATTTTTAAAAATAGCATTTAAGGAATAAAAAGAAAACTCAGACTTCATTATAAATGTTTTTAGCCTATCACTTGGTCAACTTTGACCAACTATTAAAGTGAAGAACATAAGTCAAATAGTTGTGTTTCTCTAATGCTTAAAACAGTAATTGCTTTTATAATGAAGTCTTATTTTCAGTTTTCCTTAACAAGCAGTCTGAGTTTCTTTTTATTTAAATAGAGTGTCAAGTTTTGTTTATGCCCAAAAGAATATTCTAATGAAAATAAAAAGGAATATTAATAAAAAAAAAAGGCATTATGAAAATATTTTATTAATCCCCTACTGTTATCTGCTGGCTGTCCATTTCTTTCTTTTTCCTTCTGTTTGGCTTCTTGCTCCATATTTAATGACCTAGAAAACAAAGTTAACAAAATAATAATATAATTTCAAATTTTTAAACAAACTATAGAATGAATTTACAAAGTGTTAGTAGTACTCTGATTGGAATAATATTTAAAAGGAAAGTGATTGATACAGAACATGAAGTAATAATGAGATATATTTTCTATTATCACACTCTTATAGTTTTAAACTTAATAGTCTTAATAGTTACAGCAATTACATTTCTGATGAATGATCATCAAAGTAATATGATGTTAGTGAATTTTAATATTTAATTTTAATACAGGCTGGTATATGGTTTATAATGACCAATAAAAATATCACATTAATCTTTCAAGCATTATCTAAATATATAAAATTACATGTCTTGACTGGCTGGGTGATTTATCATCACCCAGAGCAAACCGCTGAACCTAAAGAGGTGAAATTTGGTACACAGTTGGTATGTCATGAAAATGCACACTAAGAAGGGATTTTCAGAAATTTCCCTGCAGGGGAGAGGGAGAGGATAAGGCTTAACCTGAAGAACAGTTTCTACTATACTATTTTCGATGCGATTTTTTGTTTTTATAGTAACAACTAATGATTAAGAATCTTAGTGAAGTACCGAGGGAGGGTTATTTTTATCAAATTGCAAATTCCACACAAGTGAAGCCGCAGATAACAGCTAGTATAAAAATATAATTAACAATTATAAAAAATATAGCATCAATGCTCCATATAAAAAAGTTTTCCTGTGAAATTTCAAAATTTTTGGTACATGTGGTCCTGAGATATAAAGAAAAAATACAGGCCAACACAAACATTTTTCCTTTTTTTTTTCTTTTTGAATTTTTGGAATCAAGAGACCTTAAAATGTCAAGAAATGCAAAATAAAATTTTACCAATTATAATATTTTTACTCTTATGTCATTTTTTAAGACCAATTTTCAAAGTTTTACTAATCTACATTTTATGATTATCAGCAATCTGATATATTTATTCATTTTAAATATTTTGAAAGATAGGTACCATCTACAATAAGATTACTTATAATTTATATCTTAATATTAATTGCATGGATACTATATAAAATATTTTGGTTGCCTAACAATTGTAAAACATGGAGCTTTAATATACAAATCAATGAACAGAATGTTTGATATAATGTATTACAAGTCAATAATTCAGGAAATATGTTTCTAACAAAAAAACTGATAAGAATAAAAGTTTAATATTTCCAAATAGCCCATTTAATGCCATAAAATTAAAACTTTGCCTATTCCCCCTTCTGGGTTGGGTGGGGAAGATAACTGAACTTTCATATGTTCTTCCTTTTTAAATATATTCTTGAATTCTCTATCAAAAAATAATAATTGAAACTTTTATTGAAACTAGAAATTCTCCCATTAAGCATAACGGAATATTTTTTATGAGAAAGTAGAGAAGAGCCTAAAATCAAACTTGAAGTTGTGATGCTGTTTCTGTAGCTCTTGATAAAGCCATTTTTACTCAATGTTGCTAAAGTCATACTTTACGACTTTCAGGGGCCTCAGTAGTTCTTATTCTTTAAGATCTAGAATTTACCAATTTTATTCTTATGTTTTCCCCTATGCATTTTTTTTTCTTTTTTTTCAAACAAAATATCAAGTCTTTTTAATTCCACATTGATAAAAAAGAAAAAAAGATGAATTGTATGTACCAGTATGTTATGAGTGATAACACTTTCTAAATAACAGGCTTGTTAAATTGTTACTTCTGATTGGATAATAGAATGTCACATGACCACTATGAAAAGTTTTTTTTTTAAATTTTTACAAGGTGATACAATGTGGCTGTCATTTTTTAATTTTAAATTTAACAAAGTAAATTTAAAAGACTCCATTTGTCAAAATATTTAAAAATGCAACTTAAGGAAAATTCCCTTATCAAGCATGAATGTCACATCACTGATGTCACTGCAACCACCAATGCCAAAATCAATAAAGTGTTTATTCTATAAGCTAATATTTCCACAAAATAAGTAGCCTATACTTTCCGTCAGACCATAAAATGAATATAAGTACAAATCAAAATTTCATCTAGATTAAACAAAAATTGCAGGAATTATAAGGAATTCAACACATACACATAGACAACAGTTTTTATATTAGTAATGTTTATTTTCAAAAAATGATCATTTCAAAAGCTATGAGTATATGTACTTGTATGTTTTGAGAGCTGATGATCTAATAAAACTATACATTTTATTAATAAGCTAATTACTTGAAACGGATTTCAAAAGTGTTAATGGTTAATTTTTAATAAATTTTTGACATAATTCAAAGTAGTACTCATTCTTAAATTAATTTTAAAAGTAAATTTAAAAATTTTCAGAAAACAATGAATTAGACACAAAGGACTAATTTCAAAGCCACTTAGGTCACCGAACCTGACACCAATTGATTATTTCCTATGGGGTTTCATAATAAATCAAGTTTGTCTCAATAACTGACCATGATTCAAGATATGAAGCAGAGAATAAATGATATATGTGCTAAAATTACCCCAGAAATGTTGCAGCCTGGCAAAATTTTGTTCTTCGATTGCTGAAATGTTTAGATGAAAATGGACATTTCTTTGAACATTTGCTAAAGTACTGAAAAAATGAAAGAATAGAAATTAATTAGTACATAAAAAAAATTAGATTTTCATTAGACTGTATCTTGGTAAAAAATTGTAGACCCATAAATTCCCACTGTCGTCCATCTGTCTTCCTTAATCTCGAGAATGGTATTATATAAATTCAAGACCAGATATGGAAAGCTTAAAAGCAGGAGGCCCCAATTAATTATATACTAACTTCCAATACAAATCAGAAGTCACATGATTTCAATTCAAAAATTTTCACCTGAAAGGAGTTAGATAGATGACTGCATGACTCTATTGCTAAAGAAAAAGTGTGATGTACAGTACTAATTTGAGATTGATAGCATATATTTTAAATTAAATAAATTAAAAATATGATTAAAAATTGTAGCCTGGCATTGTGACACTATGCTCTATTTTACAGGCAACAAAAGTTTTGCTTTTCAAAATAGAAAAAAAAAAGTTTAGTGCACTACAGTCACTTGAAAATTTTTAGTTGCCAACTCACTGAGGAATTAAAAACTAAACTATCCCTAAATCCCTAGAATTAATTTTTGCATTTGAAGTCAAAATTTAAAGATTACCAGTAATTTACTGATAAACTGGCAATATTTTGAAAATTTAGTATTTTACCAGCAATAGTCACTAAATTTGCAACTACCTGGGGGGGAAATATAAATTTACCAGAAATTTATGTTATGTGATATCTGCTGGTGTGCAACCACCACCACATAAATCAAGATCATAATGTATCTCCATTTTTTGGGTTAAGTTCATAAATACCTTAATATGTTCATGAACATCAAAAGAAGAAAGGAATTGTGACATTTTTTTTATACATAACATTTTAAATGTACATTTATCTTCATTACTTTTATCTAAAAATGTCTAATAATGTGTCATTGATGCCATTTCTGGTTCTAATTTTTTCAATTCTGTATAAAATACACTTCCATTAAGTTTTAAAAATGTAAATGTTTAAATATGTCATTGATTAATTTTGAATAGAAAATTTATAATAAGTGTCAACGATACTGAATGAACTGGTCACAAACATATCAAATAACAATGTAAACATTATTCAGAATTAGATTACAATTGTCTATCAAAAATCATCTTATTAAAAAATTCATCTATGTTTGGAAACAATAAAAACAAAACTGCACAAATTGAAAATTGAGTATACAAGAGAATTTATATAATAGTCACTGAATTAAAAAAATTATCAATACTGAATGGTCAGTTTGTAGATAACAGATGGAAAGTTGAATCAGTATGACATTACTTGGTAAATTAAAAGTAATCAAACATACTAAGATACATAAAATTCAATATTTTTATTTAAAAACTTTTTATCTCATCCTTTGTGGTTTTTAGATATTATTGTTACTTTCCTGGCTGTTATATGTAACAGATGGAAAGTATGGTAATTGGTCAAAAAATGACCCCCTACAAGATGTTTTTGGACTCTGGACCTTGAAATGTTAAGAAATGCAAAAAAATTTGAGGCTTTTTCTGTATTTACGAATATTAGTATGTGCATGGGTGGGTGGCACAAGTTCATCCACTTTGAACTTCAGTGTTTTTTGTCAAAAATTTTGAAATTTTGCATGGAGGTTTTTGTATTAGGGGAATTGATGCTATTAAATTTTGGTGGTTGAAGGTTGACATGCTGGGAGATAAAGAGGGAGTCNCAAACATACTAAGATACATAAAATTCAATATTTTTATTTAAAAATAGTAATTTGAATGGATATGAATATTGTTCAATTTAGTAGAAAGCAGCATCAAAAAAAGTCCTTTCTTAAATTTCCTGTACAGATTATTAATCAGTATAATGTAATCAATGATTTAAATATACTTATATTTATTTTTATTCAGACATGTAATAAATATGACAAAAATATCATATACAGTATGCAGATTTTGTCATATTTTTATGCTTGTCTACTAATAAACGATAAAGAGCTTTCAATGCTATTGATTACAATATTTATACTGTACAACATGCAAAGTTAAATATATATCACATAACCACACCCTTTTAAGAAAACAAATAGATATACTAATAGTACATAGACATAGCAAAATAACTGTTTTAGTAGCTATACCATCATTTCATCTGGCACAAAACCTGATACAAATATCAACTGAATATCATACTTTCACCATAATAATAAATTTGACTCATCTTTAATCTCAAAACAGACAAATTTAGTTTTTATAAAATTCAAAACAGTTACAATGCAATCTGTGCCATTAGTCAGCATTTGATATCTATCATAATAAAATAGAACAATGTAAGAATTAATTGTCATCTAATATATAGGATAAACAATGGATTTATAACTGCTGAAGAAATAAAAATTATATAAAAATAATTAATTTTACAGATCTAATTAGCATTTTTCAACTATTTGAAATAACTGTTTATAATTTATATCATATTTTCTGAACTCATTTACAATGTTACTTTAATAAGTAACATAGTAATTGATCATTTTTATTTCTTAATAAATTCATTATTACTCAACTATTCAAATGAAAAAATTTTTTAATTTCATTGTAATAGTTAAAAACATAACAATTTTTAAATAATTTCATAAAGTTAAGCTACTTTTAGTGATTTCCATTCAATTCTAATTTAACATTGTCATTTCACTAAAATTATTCTAATTTATTAATATTGTTTGTTAGTAAAAAAAATTTTCTTCTAATAAATTCAAGATGTAATTGAGGATTAATAAATTCACAAACTAAATAGATTAGCACTTACATCATTAATTACATCAAAATTAAAACAAAACTCAAAAATCAATTTCTATACATCTGACCATTATAAAATTAAAATTCACTTGTACTGTATTTTGTCATAATGTAAATTAATTCAGATCAAATTTCTTTCCTGCTTTTCAGAAGTTTTAATCCAGCAACTTAATCCTTTTACAATTTCCAGTGTTTAAAATAAATTATCCAATTAATCGAAACAGACTGAATATGAAGAATCATCAGAAACAGGGAAAGAATAAAGACAAATTTTTTATTTAAATATAAATTTTATCAGAGAGAGAATAATAATTTCATTGCTAAAAACATTTTAAATGTTTTTAGCAATAAAATTATTATTGCTAATAAACAAATTAACAATTAAACAATAATAAGATTATACTCTCATTTCATTAAACTGTTTACATGATGAATGAATTCATATAGTAGCATTTCAAAGTTAAAATGACTCTTGTACCAATGAAAGTCAACCATCCATCCATCAACTTAATATCATCATCATCATTTTTTGACTAAACAGACAAAAGGAAACAACTTTCACTAAGTAGAAAAAATTAGTTGACTAAGCAGTTCTTAATTAGAAAATACATTTCAATAACTATGTTAATAAAAATTTAAAATGATACTCTGAAAGTTGAGATAAATAAAATAAATATTAATACCTTTTATTAGTAATTCATTATATCAAATTTACATAAATTAAGAATTGAATCAAGTTATTTGAAATACTTTATATACTAAATTATATAATACAAACAAATTTACATCTGGATAAAAAAAAACAAAAATAAATATATTTTCTAATATTACAAAAAATTCATTATTTTATTAAAATTTACTTCTATTATTTAGAAAAGGTTACTTAAAGACCAAATATTTTTGCTATTATGTAACATTTAAATTTAGAAATTTCAGTATTAAATTTTCAGCCATGTATTTGCATGACTGAAAACTAAAAATATTGCCAAATATTGTGATAACAAAAAGTATTCTCAAGATAATATTTATTCTGTAACCATAAAAAAACAAAAATAAACTAAAAGAGTGAATCTTGAGGTATGTCAAATTATTTTGATTTCAAAAAATTTGTCTAATTATCTTTTAAACTAACTATTAAAATGAACAATAAACTAATGTTTATTTATATAAACGATAAATTAGTCATTAATTTAAGATTAAATAATTCTAACAAATATAAGCATATTAATAGTAAAATAAAATTTACATTCTTTACCAAGATATACATGAATAAATTGAATATAATCAGCAACTATTTAAAACTGTATTCAGTTTAATAATAAATTAAATACAATTTTAAATATATAACAAATTTACCAGTGACTTTCCAGCACATGATGTTCTGGCATCTATACAAAATTATGACATGACAATTTAAATCTGCACAATTACTAGATTTGTTCATTAAATGATACAGATGGCAATGCTTATAGCATGCATTCAGTTGGATTGTTTACATTACAGTTTTTGTTGCTCTATCTACAGTATTCTGTGCTGTTTTTAGATTATTTTACTTAGTTTTTGTTCTAGTTATAGTTTTAAAAAAATGCAAGTATTAGTGATATCAAACAAAAAAACTAATCCATATTTTACATATGCCTAGTTTAAACTTAACTGTACTATATCTGTAAAATCTATATAACTTTACAGATATGGGAAGTGTATAATTAGTAGTCTAAGATATACTGTTATTATTACATGATCTCAATTGGTCCAGCATAGACATTAATCTAGCAAAGCTTTAGAACTAAGTGTGCCTTAAAATCAGTGGTCAATTTTGAAATAACTTATATATTACTGAGGTTACTTAATATTAATAAACTGTAGTATCATCATTTGTTTGTTTGATTAGTTTAATGATTATTGATTGATATGTTTAATTTTTTTTAATAATCTGTGATTGGAAATAATGCATTTTGTCATTTCCAAATGTTTCATTAATTCTGGAAATTTAACAATATTATCAGGAATAAACAAAATTTTTAGTAAAATTTTGGATACTTTTTCAAATACATAAAAGTTTCATTATGAATTACTTTTATTATTATTCTGTTTTTCTGATATACTTCATTATCAATTAAGTGCATTTTAAAGAAAGAATTTATACTTACCGAAAGCTGCCATATACAATCAATAAAATTGAAATGAGAAACGTTGACACTCTTGAAGAATCCACAAGTGAATAAGCCCTAATAGTAACAAAAATAAAAATTTGATTTAAATAAAAAAAAATGTATGAATTTCTTTTCATAAGAAAAATTTAAAAAGCAGAAAAAAAAAAAAAAATATAGAGAA